TGAATGTACCATGGACTGCCAAGAAAACAAACATATTCCTCCTGAAAAGGGTTAAACCGGGCGGCTCCTTGGAGGCAAGGATTCTGAGGCTCTGTCTAACATACTTTGGACATGTTGGAAGGAAGGACCAGTCCTTGGAGAGGGACATCATGCTTGGTAGGGCGGAGGGACAGCGCAGGAGGGGAAGGCCCTCTATGAGGTGGATTGATTCAGTGACTGGGGTAATCGGGTTGGGTGTATCGGAGACAGTGCGATTGGCACAGGGCAGAGCCGAGTTTGGGGCCGTTGTACATAGGGTCGCTATGAGTCGCAAGCGACTCGATGGCCCATAACAACAAGATCTAACTAGGGGAGTCTGGTTGGCCTAGTGGTAAGAGACTGTGCTGTGGTCCCAAAGGCACACGGTTCATATCCACCATCATCAGGGAAGGCTGGACAGCTTCCTGTCTTCAGTGTTACTGCCTCTGAAAACCCGCTGGAGAGTCAGCTTTGGGTCGCTTCTGACTCGACAGCACACACAGCAACAAAAAGAAGATCTAACAGGACCAGAGTTCAAGTTTAAACGTCATTCATAACAGGTTATAGATTTCTCTTTGAGTTCTTAGTTGGTATATATGATTAGCACTCATCCACTAACCTAAGGCTTGGTAGTTTTGAACCCCGAGTGGCCTCAGACACAAGGCCTTATGATCTCTTCAGGAACGTCACAGCCAGTAGAAACTGCTTGGACCCAGCTCTGCTTTGGAATCAGTGAGGTCGCCAGGGGTTGGAATTGGCTTCAATGGCAACTTTTCCGTTTTCTTTTCTTTTGAAGGTGGTAGAATTTGGCGCCCAGGGTCATTGGATTGTAGTCCAGTGCTCCCGGCTTCCCATGGCCTCTCAGCTGGTGACAGTGCCATGTGGAAAGGTGTAGGGTGCTGTCACCCCATCAGTTACTCTACTGCTACCTCACCCAGTTAACATGAATGCTATCCTTTCCTAGGAGGAAAGGCCTGGAGACCTCTCCAGAAAACCCTGTGCATAGCAGCCCCGTCTCATTATACACAGGAGTCTGGGGCTGAATCAGCAGCTAATTGGCCCTGACACTGGTTAAGACACAGCTTAGAATCTCAGATGTGGCGGGGATAACCCAGCTTGCTCCGGAGGTCCATGTGAGGAAGTGGAGCGTCTGAAAGGTGAGAGTCTGCTGAATGTTCTAAAACAAGGTTCTGGAAGATATGAGATTAGACCACTAGGCATGTATGTCATATGTACGTATGCATCTCTCTCTGTTTGTATCTATCCATCCATCCATCTATATCTCAAAAAAACCTCCTCTAAGGGAGTTTGCTACGAAGTTGAAACTGATTCCTATCTCACCCTCCAACAAGTTTGATTTTTTTCCTTTTATATTGATTTGCTTACAAAGTTTGTATACATTATGTTTCACCCTATTCTTTATTCACATTGTGTTTCAGACCATCATTCCCATGCATTGTTGTTGTTGTTAAGTGCCGTCTTGTTGTATATGACTCACAGAGACCCTATGAACAAAAGACCTGAACACTTGTATAACTTTCATCGTTTCCCCAGGTTCATAGAGTTTCCAGAGGAAAGCTATTTCAGAAGTGGATGCCACTCCTGTTTCTAAGCTTGTTTTAATCGGGGAGTGCCACCAAACACTGTCCACCATGGGTAACCATTACCACATTTGACACATCAGTGTCAGTGTTTAGCATCTCAGCAACAACGAGTTCCCTCTGCACAGCAAGTGGACAGACCAGTGCTATACAACTTAGAAGAATGTTTGACCAAAACCAATTAAAACCAGGCCTGAGTGCTGCAGATTAAAATCATCCACCTTTGGCTTGATAGCATAGCTTTCTATCCACGAGACCCATAGAACTCTATGTTTTATAAAATCAATCACTATTGGACCTTGCCCATCATTGCCCAGTCTTTTTAGGTCCCTCCTGGAGGCTGTAAATCTCAGGGGAGGAGACGGCCCATCATTTCTCCCCAGAGCTTCTTGGTTCAAACTGCTCGAGGGTTCACCTTTGGTTTCCAGCACTCCTCCCTACAGATTACACCACGAAAGCCCCGTGTGTATATGTGTGTGTGTATTTTTGTTGTCATTGTGTACTATCGAGTCAACACCAACTTATAGCTGATCCTCCACCAGCTTTCCGGAGCCTGTAAATAGCATCCAAGGACATTTCCCATCCTTCTCCCACAGAGCAGCTGGTGGATTCGAACCCCCTGGCTGGGCTGAGCAGCACAACTCGTTACCACTAGCTCACCAGGGCCTATTTTTTAAATTATTGTTGCTGTCGTGGTTATGTGCCGTCCAGTCAGAACCAACTCACAGCTGACCCTCCAGAGGCTGTAACTTGCACAGAAGGACACTGCCCATCTCCCCCCAACAGAAAGTGTGTGCATGAGTGTGAGTGTATATATGAGTGTGGTGTCTGTGTGAGTGTGTGTATGTGAGTGTGTTTGAGTGTGGGGGGTGTATATGAGTGTGTGGTATGTGTATGTGGGGTGTGTGTATGTGGGGTGTGTGTATGTGAGTGTGTGATATGTGTTTGAGTGTGTGATATGTGTTTGAGTGTGTGTGTATGTGAGTGAGTGTGTGTGGTGTATGTGGTGTATGTGCATGTGTGGGGTGTGTGTATGTGAGTGTGTGGTGTGTGTGTTTGAGTGTGTGTGTGTGCATGTGTATATGTGCATGTGTGGTGTATGTGAGTGTGTGCATGTGTGAGTGTGTGGTGTGTGTTTGAGTATGTGTATGTGAGTGTGTGGTGTGTTTGTGTGTGAGTGTGTATGTGCATGTGCATGTGGTGTATGTGCGTGTATATGTGCGTATGCTATGTGAGTGTGTGTGAGTGTATGTATGGTGTGTGCACATGTGTGTGAGTGTGGGGGGTGAGTGTATGTGAGTGTGTGGTGTGTGTGTGGTATATGAGTGTGAGTATGTGAGCATGTGTGTGGTATGCACACGTGTGTGGGGTGTGAGTGTATAAGAGTGTGTGGTATGCACGCACATGTGTGTGAGTATGTCTGTGTGGGGTGTGAGAGTATGTGAGTGTGGGTGTGTGTGCGCATGTGTGAGTGTGTGGGGTGTGTGTATGTGAGTGTGTGTTGTGTGAGTGTGGTGTGTATATGTGAGTGTGTATGTGTGGTGTGCACATGTGTGTGATGTGTGAGTGTGTGTATGTGAATGTGTGTGTGTGGTGTGCACGTGTGTGTGTGAGTGAATGTGTGTGGGGTGTGAGTTTATGTGACTGTGTGTATGTGAGTGAGAGTGTGTGTGTGTGTGTGTGTGTGTGTATTTAGTCCATGTTGTCTGCCGCTTCCAAGTCATGGTGAAACACCTGGTCGACCAGTCTTAGGGCATGCACACACATTCCTATTTGTGAGCTGTGTTATGGTACATTGTCTGTGCGGTTTGTGACCTGTGTTGTGCGCGCTGTCTGTGTGGCTTGTGAGCTGTGTTGTGCGCGCTCTCTGTGTGGTTTGTGACCCTCAAAGGGCAGGCTCCCTGAGCAGGGGTAGTCGGCGTGGCCTTTGAGGCATTGCCGCCACTTGCACCCACATCTCTCTGTATGGCTGTGGGCTGCTGTCTGTCATGGTTGTGACTCACTCCCTTCCTAGCCTCCCGTTTACAGCTCTGCTCGCCCGAGAAATCAGGAGAGGGACGGGGCTGAGGTGCTTCCTGGTGGAGGACAGTGTATGGAACTGGGGGCTGGCATCGAAGGCTTTGTCTGCTCGGTTTGATCTTGCATATTGTGCTGAGAGTGGAGGTGATGTCAGCATTTCAGTCTTAGAAAATGAGCTCAGAGAAGCCCCAGGATCTCCTTCTGGCTTCACAGGAGGCAGCCGAGCTGGCATCTGCCCAGAACCCTGCCTGAATCCCCAACGTGCCCTTAGCTGCTGCTCTAGCATTTGTTTGTTCTGAGTATCTTAGCGAAACTATTTCTGGGTGTGATGAATTGCTTGCAGATTAAGGCTTCCTGGAGTTGAAGATGCTCCCCTGCTTGGATTGACCCCGTCAAGTTGGGGGCTTGCCACGTCCAGCACTCCTCTGCTCGCTTGCGCCATCTGCTGGTGCTCACGTTCTGCTTCTTGTTTGAAGCTCAGCTGTTTCCGTTCACTGCCAGGAGGCCACGGCTGTTTTGTGTTGTTGTTGTCACTGTTGGGCACCATTCAGTCAGCTCAGACTCAGGGTGACCTTATGAACAATTGACTGAATCTTTGCCTGACCCTGCAGCAGCTTCAGATCCTCGGAGGCACTAAAGCCCTTGGTTGTAGCCATTGTGCTAATTCAACTCCATGAAGCTCTTCCTGTCTTCCTCTGCCTTCTCCAAGCAGGATGTCCTTCTCCAGGAACTGGCCCCACCTGATGCCCAAAGTTGTTATTGTTATTAAGTGCCTTTGAGTCAAGTACGACTCACAGTGACCCTATGAATAACAGACCTGAATGCTGTCCTATCATGTGCCAACCTCACACACTTTGACACTTGAGCCCATTGCTATAGACACTATGTCAGTATCTCTCACTGGGGGTCTTCCTCTCTTTCTCTGACCCTTCAATCTTCCAGCATAATATCCTTTTCCAAGGAATAGCCTCTCCTAACAACATGCCCAAAGTATGAGAGACAAAGCTTCACCATCTCTGCCTCCAAGGAGCTCTCTGGCTGCATCTTCTTCAAGACATACCTGTTCATTTCTTGGCAGTCCATGGGGGATGTGATGGAATCTTTGCTTCCAAGTCACATTGTGGCTTCACATCGCCCACGATAGCTAGTCATTCTTTTGACCATCCATGCCCAGTTCAATACACGATTCAAAGGCATCAGTTCCTCTTTGATCTTCCCAGTCATCTCCTCTGAGCAGGTTCCCAAGGGTCTTCCCAGCATCAGTGATAAGTTCATCTCCAGTTCCTGGAGGCCTCTCAGGCAGATGAGAAGGCCCTTGTGTCACAGCCAGCCTTTTGCTCTGAGCCTGTCATGTCCCCGCAGTCATTACAGAGACCAAAGACGCCCTGGAGGTGGTGAACCAGACCTTGGATGAGCTGAGGAACAGAGACGCACGCCTGAGAACCAGCCTCGACCAGGTCAGGACCGACCTTAACCACTCACTTGAGGACCCCATGTGCTCCAGGCCGCCCGTGTCCGCGTACTGTGACGGCATCAGGCGCTCCCTCTACCAGGTGGACAGCAACCTCGGCTTGGATCAGGTGAGGCGGGTGGGCCCTCTAGATTACGTGTCCTTGAGATGGTTCATAGGGCCGGGTGTAGGGGGACCTGCAGAGACAGGGTGGCCTGCACCTCTCCTCCAGGTCACTGAGCCCCAACATTCAAGGGGAGTTTGAGCAATCCATCTTTCTCAGACCTTCTCTGCAATTTGTTGCAAAACACTAGCATTACAAAGCAAAAAGAAAGCAGAAGACATTTATCTGTGCTTTTAAAAGTAAACAGGGAGATCTGGTGGCTTAGTGGTAAGAAGCTGCACTGCAATCCTAAAAGTTAATATATTCAGCTTGTTGTTGTTGTTATGTGTCATCGAGTTGCTTGTGACTCATAGCGACCCTATGTACAACAGCCCTAAACCCGGCTCTATCCTGTGCCAATCGCACTGTCTCCGACACACCCATCCCAATTACCCCAGTCACTGAATCAATCCACCTCATAGAGGGCCTTCCCCTCCCGCGCCGTCCCTCCACCCTCCCAAGCATCATGTCCCTCTCCAAGGACCAGTCTCTCTTTACAACATGTCCAAAGTTTGTGAGATGAAGCGCAGAATCCTTGCCTCCAAGGAGCAGCCTGGTTTAACCCTCTCTAGGATGAATCTGTTTTCTTAGCTGTCCATGGTACAATCAATACTCTTCTCCAGCACCACAGCTCAAAGACATCAATTCTCCTTCTATGCTCCATAGTCATTGTCCAACTCTTTGATGCATAACAAGTGATTGCAAAGCCTTTGTGCTATAATCATCCACAGAGTGGGCTGGAAGACTTCAAAGATCACAGAGCACAACGCAGGACACTGTGCTGGTCTTTGGGGATGGTGTGGATTGCGGTTGTCCAGCAGTGACCCCATCACTGCCCATCCTTGCTTTCTTAGCCAGTTAACTTGAGTGGTTTCACTCCCCATGAAGTCTGTGGGAGGGCCTCTTGGAGCAAGGTGGCCTGGACTGGTCTTCAAGGTCATGGAGTCCCATCATGGAAACAGAGGTTCACCAACAACACATCCTTCTAGGGAATTAATATAGTCAGTTACTGATGTGCTCGAATGGTCAACAGAATGGGCTCAAAGGTGGGCCAGGCCACAGAGGACTGGCTAGCAGTCTGTCCTGTTGTGCAGAAGATCACCCTGCATTGGACCCAACTTGAAGACTCCAAGTAAAAGGCCATTAAAAGACTAAACTTGGGTTCATCCTGAATATTGAAAGACTTGAGGCTATAGGTAAATGTTTTCATGTCTGTTCATGACATTCCAACCACCGATTTAGTTTTATTCATATTGTCTATGTAAAATATCATAGTAGTGATGAGAGCCTTTCCCACGACTTTTACATTTCTTGTGATAATTTTTCCAAGCACTTTATTCCCACATTTGTGGACATTATTTAAGTTGTTTTAGGTAGAGTCCCCTGGGCATAATATTTTGTTTTACTTTCAAACATGCATAAAAGTTGCAAATTAGTAGACAGAACCCCCATTTGTTTGCAATTTGCCCATTTGCTTATTTTATACATCCATCCCTCTATCTATCTCTATCTATTATCTATCTATCAATTATCTATCTATCTATCAATTATCTATCAATTATCTATCTATCTATCTATCTATCTATATCTATCTATCTATCTATCTATCTATCTATCTATCTATCTATCTATCTATCTACTAATCCATTCACCCAAGCTATCTATCTACCCATGTATCCATCCGTCTATTCATCTATCCATCTACCATCCAACCATCCATACTACCACTCGTCTATGCATCCATCTATTCATCCAGCCATTTACGCAACCATCCATCCATTCATCTTTCTATTATTTTATGTATATGTGCATAAAACAATACACATTTTGTTTTTTCTTAACCATTTAGAGCTAAGTTGCAGACAGCATGTCCCTTTGCCTGTAAATGTTGATGTTAAATGCTATTGGGAACAATTCACGGTGACCCGATGAACAGCAGATCCGAACCCTGACTTAACCTGCACCATCCTCGTCACCTTGGACACACACACACTCATTGCTGCAGTCACTGGGTCAGCCCATCTCACTGAGAGTCTTTGCTGTCACTGATGCTCTATCTGTCCTAGCCTGATGTTCCTTTCAAGGGCTGGCCTCTTCTACCAGAATGTCCAAAGTATGAGAGATAAAATTTCACCATCCTTGCTTCTAAGGAGCACTATGGATACACTTTTCCCAAAACATATTTGTTTATTCTTTTGGCTGTCCATATTCAGTACTCTTCTCCAACACCACAAATCAAAGGCACAAAATCTTCTTCTCTTATCCTTAGTCATTGTCCAGCTCACAGATGCTTAAGAAGTGATTGAAAAGATCACCTTTTGAATCAGGCACACCTTAGTCAGGCACACCTCAGTCTTCAAACTGACATCATTGCTCTTTGCAATTTGGAGTAATTTGCCCCTAAATAGTTCAGTGCAGTTCCTAACCTTTCAAGTCCTTACATAATTGTCAAAATCAGGCCACAGGCTCAATCCTTCCATCTGACCCATTATAGCTGATTTTCACATTTTGCCTATTTTTGTAATAATATCCTTTAAACTCCTTTTCTTTTCCCAGTCTAAGGTCCAGTCCAGAATCGCACCTGACCTTAGCTGTCATGTCTCTTTTCCCCTCTCTTCTTCCTTGGCATCATGTTGGAACTGAGTCATAGCTGACCCTCTAGTAGTTTTACAGGATGAGAGATGACAAGCGAGGAGATTGCCCATTTTCTTCCCAAGGAAGAGCTTGCTGGGTTTGAATTGCCAGAGAGGTGTGGCCTTTGGTAATTTCACAATCTTTAAAGTTTTATCAAGAGTTGGGATTTGGGGAGGTTGGACAGGGAGAAAAGTGCAACAATGAATGAATGGAAATCCAAAGTCTCTGTAAACTTCCATTAAAATTAATTTTTAAAAAGTTGGGATTTTAATATTATAAAACTTGACTCAGGTGCATTTTGATAATTTCACAATCTTTAAAAGTTTTATCAAGAGCTGAGATTTTACTATTCTAAAACTTG